CCAATGTACCAGAGCTGTGTCATGGTGCTTTGCAGAGACATGTCGATTTTAGCTCAGAACAAGTAGGAAGTGAGCGCTTCATCCCTAGGAAGAGGGAGAATCCAGTGATGGCTTCCATTTACAGTGTGCCTATGGCATGGTCCTTGAATGTGACTTTTTTTCCATTGATTTTTATTTTATGTATAAGAATATTTGCCTGCTTGTATGCATGTCTATGCACCATGTGTGTGGTGCCAGGGTGAGCCTTGCATCCCCTGGAGTGGCAGTTACACACAGTTATGAATCTGATGTGGGTGTTGGGAACTGAACTCAGGTACTCTGCAAGAGCAGCAATGCTCTTAAACACTGATTCCTTCTCTAGCTCAAACATGACTTTTGACACTGAAAAGGTTAGTCATTAGCTTCAGGGTGGTCCTTGGATGTAGGGTGGTTCCTGGGTGTAGGGTAGTTCTTGGATGTAGTATGGTCTCTGGGTGTAAGTTGGTCCCTGGGTGTAGGGTAGTCCCTGGGTGTAGGGTGGTTCCTGGGGTTAGGGTGTCCCCTGGGTGTAGGGTAGTTCCCGGATATAGGGTGGCTACTGGTTAGGAGCCACTTGTGGGTAGAGTTTTTTTTTTCTATTTTTTCTGGGTTTCAGCTTAAAGTACAGACATTTATTTTAAATGAGAGGAGAAACCATAAGTCGTGGTCTTAGGTAGGCACATCTGGTAAAAAACCACTGGTCCCGGCAGTGCAGGGTGGGTGTCCTAACTCAGCCTGCAATGGGGATTGGATCCCATGGAATTAACAGGGCCCAGGAAGGGGAGGCAACCCATGAGGGAGGACCTGCTATGCAGCAGGCACTGGCCTGCCTCTACGTTATTCTCAGAACAGCATGGGGACACTGGGCCCTGAAGGGATAGGTAATGTGAGGTGAGAGTCTCTAGGTAACATAGATGGACTGTGGGCAAGGTCTCCCTGAGGTGCAGGAACTTCCTGCTGAGACAGTTAGAAAAGGTGGGTTCCTGGGCTGGAGCTGGGTGGGCTGCCTCCTCAGGGACGGGACCCCAGGGTCAGCTGAGAGGAAGCCACTATGAGGGGGCTGGAGCTGTGCTATGGGCCACAGGAATGTGAAGCAGAGATTCAGCTGTATATGATAAAGCTATACATAGAAGGATCAAGGAATTCTTCTGGAGTAGAAGTCCAATGTCAAGGAATATTTGATGTTATTCAGCTTTTAATAGATCAACTGTTTCCTACTATGAATTTCTTGTCCACTCTCAACTTCCAAGAATTTTTACAGTATATTTTACCTAGCACCCTAGGCCAATGGCAGTCTTCTCTCTTAATGTAAACATCCTTCTGGAGACACCACCTAGGGGACAGCTAGGTGCATAGCTTTCTTTCTTGTGCAAATGAATCTCAGGCCCCCATCTCTCTCATAACCCAAATGGCATTACAGAGCTATTGACTCAGATCAAAAGGTGTTTTTTTTGTTTTTTTTGTTTTTTTTTTTTTTTGCATACCAGGTGCAAAGTAGCTTTGAGACAGACATCCTAGCTCTGAGCAGAGTTACCCTATCCTGTCAGTATATGGCGGCATAGGAAAACAGAGACAGTTTTATTTTTGTGACTTATAGACTTGTTTACCTAACCACCTGTAAGATTGTAGTTTGAGCACATTTATGATAGACTCCTAACGTTTCACCTAACCACTTATAAGAATATGTTTTGAGGCCGGGCGGTGGTGGCGCACGCCTTTAATCCCAGCACTCGGGAGGCAGAGGCAGGCGGATCTCTGTGAGTTCGAGGCCAGCCTGGGCTACCAAGTGAGTTCCAGGAAAGGCGCAAAGCTACACAGAGAAACCCTGTCTCGGAAAAACCAAAAAAAAAAAGAATATGTTTTGAGCACATAAATTCCCTTTCTGACTTATTCCAGTCCTTACCTGACCCCATCTCCTCTATCCACTCCCCTTTTGGGTTGCAAATGAAGCTGGCTATCATGGCTCTTGTAGGGAGCTTGGAAGCTTTGCATTGTATTGTAAGTCAGGCTGCTGGTAGGGAGAGACTGGTTCCGGGAGAGCTAGGGGAAGGAACCGTGATGGAAAAGTATGAGGATGAAGATGAGGATGGGATAGAAAAGAGTTAGAGTTGTGAGAAGACAGGAAGAGAAGGGACAGAATAGAATTGAAACTGTATAGATAGAATTTAATCTCAGAGGAATAAAGTAGACAGACCCATAAGAACCAGTATACTTAGATTATTTTCCTGCAGAGTACCCCCACCGTTAGTAGTGTCTCTTCTGGCCCCTGGGAAGGAAATTAAGAGGCCCTCAAAGTTTCCAAAAGAGCTGCCTGCCGTCTTCGGTTATCTCCATTCTTCTTTCCCTCCCTCCCTCAACCCCTTCCCTCTTCTCTACCTCAAACTCCCTCCTTCCGTCCCCCCTCCTCCTGGCTTCTGTTTTTCAGGGTGGGTATTGAAGAGGTGCCTCCCGAGAAAGCACCCCAAGACAAGGCCAGGAAGGGGGGCGGCTCTGACCCAGGCTGGGAAACTCTCTATGCTCCACTTGGGGTTCTCCTCCTGTATCCTTGGCTCCTCAGCAGACACTCAGCCTCAGGGAGGCTCTGGCAGTCCTAGGCCAGGAGCAGGAATAGAGAAGAAGACTGGTTACCTGGGGAGCCCATGGCAGCTGCTGGGTCTTGGTGTCACTCAGGGATTCTGACAGGTTTTCTTTACAGCTCACCAGGAGTCCAGGCTACAGGAGGAAAAACAAGTGTGGGACAGAATGGGGACAGGTTCTGTGACCAGGGATCTGGTGACCCACAGTTCTCTCAATGGTGGCTGCCAAGGACCAAAAGAACTTGATCCAAAGTTCTACTGTTTCCCTGGGCTTTGTCATTCCTACTTAAAGAAGTTGGTCTTGTGGCTCCAGCCTTGCTGCCTTCTCCACAGCCAAAGCTTCTGGCTCTTATTCCTCCCAAACCAAGGAGCCACTGGGTACAATGAAGAAGGCATCAGCTGAGGACACAGCTGTGGAGAACCAATGGACTCTGCATATGGAAGGAAAGATGGAGAAGAATGTTCTGGGGACCACAGTATCAATGGTTGTTGTCAGAAGGTGTCCTGTGTCCCGCCTGGCCCGTAGTCAGGCAAATCTCTCACCCACAGTCCCACAGCCTTTATAAAATAATCACACAGAGGTTTATATTAATTATTAACTGTATGGCTATTAACTCAGGCTTATTACTGACTAGCTCTTACACTTAAATTAACCCATAATTCTTATCTATGTTTAGCCATGTGGCTTGGTACCTTTTCTCAGTTCTGCCTTGTCATCTTGCTTCCTTTGTGTCTGGTGGTGACTCTTGACTCTCTTCCTGTTCCCAGAATTCTTCTCATGTGCTTGCCCTACCTATACTTCCTGCCTGGCTACTGGTCAATCAGTGTTTTATTTATCAAACAATCAGAGCAACACATATTCACAGCATACAGAATGGTATCCCATAGCAAATGGTATTTTGTATTAATGGTAATTTCTATTAATGGAAATTTCTTATATTTACTGTCCTATTTCCTGTTTTATTGCTGTGAAGAGACACCGAGGCCAAGGAAACTCTTATAAAAGAAAACATTTAATTGGGGCTTGTTTACTGTTTTAGATGTTTAGTCCATTTATGTTCATGTTGGGAGCTTGGTGGCACACAGGCAGACCTGATGTTTTTACAGCTGAGAATTCTACATCCAGATCCACAGGCAGCAGGAAGAGAGACACTGGCCTACCTTGAGCTTTTGAATCTTCAAGGTTTACCCCTACTGACACACTTCCTCCATCAAGGCAACACTCACTCCATCAACACCATACTTCCCATTTACCCTCAAGTAGCGCCACAACCTAATGACCAGGCATCAAATATATGAGCCTACAGGGGCCATTCCTATTCCAAACCATGACACTTACTGAGCATGATGCACTGGGCTCCTTACTCATATACAATGAAGTCTTTACACATGCTCTGTTACGTTGAGGCTCTTGTGACTCCATGTCAAGGAGGTCAACAGGCATGTATTTATCCAATGTGCGTGAGTTTTCAGTGTTGATAGAGTCAGGACTTGAACTCGGGACATTCTAATCCAGATCCCACTTTCAGATGAATAAGCTTTACTATCTTAAAAACACAACCGCATTCCCACCTCTTTATATTATCTATGCCCATCGTTGTATGTGTATGCTATAAATGCTTTTTCTGCTTCCACAGCACTGCCTTGCATGGTGATATTTTATTTGTGCTGAAATGAGATTTTATTTGTATGTTAATAAATAAAAGTGCCTGGGAGTCAGAGCTAACAACAAGCCATTTAGCAGACGTCTGGCAGTGGTAGCACACACCCTTACCCCTGTCACATGACAGGCAGATCTCTGTGTGTTCAAGGATACAGCCAGCATGGAGACACACGCCTTTAGTCTCAATACCAACCATAGAGACCTGGAGGTCTGTATAGACTGGCAGTGACGAGGAGGTCATGTGGTTGGGTTTACAACCAATGAGAAGGCAGAACAGAAAGCCAATAAAAAGACAGACACACAGGAAGTAGGTCTCTTTCTGAGGGGAAGGACGACAGCGATAGTGAGGGGTAAGAAGATGGTCTTGGTCTTAGCTCTTGGCTCTGGCTCTGACCTCTTGGGCTTTTTTTTTTGTTTTTTTTTTGTTTTTTTTTTTTTGTTTTTGACAGTTTAGATTTACTTTTAATGAAAAAAGTCTCCCCACAAGTGCTGCTGCACACACACTGACGGCTGCCAGTCCCCAGAACCGGCTGCGGATTTCCACGCTGCAGGTGCCTCTGCTGCTGCCCAGACTCGTTTCCAGGGCCGCAGGTGGAAGACAGCAGCCACACGTGGAGAGTCCCCTGAGATCTGAACGTTGTTTCCGGCTTCAAGGGCTAAAGCCAGAGAACGAGCCTCCGCCTGACTGTCCTGGTGCTGGAAAGATGGGTCTCAAAGACCCCGCCGAGCGTCCACCTGTCATGTCTGACTGTCACGTCCTGCTGACTTCAGGTCACCACACCTGGCACATCCGGATCACCTCCTTCAAGGCCTTCAGGCCCTCCATGCTCTTGTCCTTCACAGCCAGGGCCAGGAGGACGGCTCTGTTTCCTGCTTCTTGAGACACAAACGCTACCAGGTTCTTCGAAAAGACATGGATGAGAGGCTCGTCCTGCCCGAGGAGGACTTTTGTGGTCAGCATCGACTTGCTGATGTCATTGGCCACATTGCTGGGCTCCAAGGAGACTAGTGTACTCATCTTCCTGAACTGGGTCACCACAACCAGGATGTGGCTGCTGAAGGCTGTGCAGATCACCTGGGTGAGCAAGCCACAAACCACTTCTGTCTTCTGTCTGGATACTACCACTGGTTTGTCTTCCATGGTCCTGTCCTTCAGTGGAGGCACATCAACCGCACCAAAAAGGAATATGGATAAACAATGGAGCCAGCTCACACTTAGCAGAAGCGCGCCGGTCGAGAACTCCTCTAGGGCTTTTAACTCTGCATTTGGCTCTGTGTTTCTTATTTAATAGGATCATTACATCTACAGCCTTGTGCCAAGTACTAGGTCCTTGTCTTAGTAAATTCACTGGGGTCCTTTGTGGTTCTTAGGGAACCACACCCTCCCTGCTTCTGGGATATCCTTGTCATATCAGGACCTGGAGTCCTACCTGGCCCTGGTCCTCCTGTGTGCTGCCTTTGACATTTGATCTTCTCCCTGACTCCTGGACCTTGTGCTGTTCCTAATCATTATGTAAATGTAATGTAAAGAATGTTCTCGTTGCCTGTTAGTGCCCGTATTTGAGATTATTTCCTTATGCTGTTTGTAGAAGTAGAAGGACTGGACTAAAGGGTGTTAACACCTAACACAGGCACTGTGTGAGGATGCTCATTCCTTCCTCTGACCAATCCTCAGTAGTCTTTGGGGTGGGAAAGACTTCATAAAGAGACACAAACCGCACTGAGATTGCCTGACACTGAGGATGGAATGAAAACAGGTTTAGCAGTGTGGGTCGGAGGCATCAGCTCCTCCTGGGATCTGACCAGAATGAGAGTGAACGACTGTTGATATGGTAAGAGCTGAAGATAATGGTGGCTCACTCTCAGGACTGCACTCTGCCCTTGGAACTGATGACTCAGTGTTATTGCCCAAACCTTGCAAATATGCACCTAGCCCAGGGTGGCCTCAGACTCACTATATAGACTAGGAGAATCATGAACTCCTAATCTTAGGCCTGTCCCACAGAAGTGTTAGGATCCCAGGTTTGTGCCCCCCATAAGCCTTCCAATATTCACATGAAATCAAAAGGAGATAGAGAGAGAATATTTTAAAAAAAACTTTGAGCCGGGCGATGGTGGTGCACGCCTTTAATCCCAGCACTCGGGAGGCAGAGGCAGGCGGATCTTTGTGAGTTTAAGGCCAGTCTGGTCTACAGAACGAGATCCAGGAAAGGCACAATGCTACACAGAGAAACCTTGTCCCCTAAAACAAAAAACAAAACAAAACAAAACAAAAACCAAAAAACTTAATAGCTACATAGGTCTGAGATGTGACAGGTGTTCTGAAGTCCCACCCCTCCAAAGTGAGACCCAGGGTCAGCTCCTCAGAGCCCAAATCCTTTCTGTTCTGTAATGCTAACAGGGATTTGAGACATTAGCAGACAGGGATGGAGTCATTCATCTCATCATTGGCAGGTTCAAAAAAATCACATTAATACAGAGATGCATTTTAACTAATTTGCTCGCCAAAGAATTTAAACATAGAGATGATAAGCATTGATCCAGCTATGGGTACACACCCCATTGGGTACACATCAATACATTGTTGAGCTGTGTAAGGTTGTGGAATTTTGTAGAGCAGTCACCAACAATCACCCAGGACTGTAATATGCCCAGGTGGGGCCACAGCCACCCACATGTCCAGCAGGCAGACAGCAGAGTGAGTCCATGGCAACCTTGTGCAGGGGTGCGAGGTGCAGGTCAGAGTAGCTGTAAGGCCAGAGTGGGGGTAGGGTGGGGAGAAGTGACCCTCTGTATTAGTCAGGGTTCTCTAGAGTAACAGAATTTACAGAATAAATCTCTCTCTACGAACAGAAAGGGGATTTATAGAATAACTCACAGGCTATGCTTCTGCTAGTCCAACAATGGCTGCCTATGAATAGTAGGTTGAAGACTCCAGTAGCTGCTCAGTCCACAAAGCTGGATGTCTCAGCTGCTCTTCAGTATATGCTGGAATCCTGAAGAAGGAGGCTGTAATGCCAGTGAAGGAAGGGACTTGTTAGTCAGGCAAAAGCAAGCAGGCAAAGATCAAAAACTTCCTTCTTCTATGTCCTTATATAGGCTTCCAGCAGGAGGCGTGGCCTAGATTAGAGTCAGGGCTTCCCTCCCGAAAAGATCTGTATTAAAGGCATATCTTCCCACCTCAAAGATCGAAATTAGAAGTGGGTCTTTACACTTCCAATTATACAAAAATCCTCTCATAGGTGTTCCCTATATATGGGTTTTAAGTTAATTCCAGATGTAATCAAGTTGACAACCAAGACTAGCCATCACACCACTCAACCAGAGTTAACTCCAGGAGGTGCTCTGCCATCCAGACCCGCCCCCCCCCCAAAAAAAAATTAGGAAATAAACCCTTTTGGAAACCTGTGGGACAAAGGTTGAATCACAATTTTGTTGAGCTAAGTCTGAGTGGGAACTATGTATGCACCTGTGTTTATGTGCACTGTGTTGGCATGTTGTTTAAATTAGCTCAAGTGGAAAAAAAAAACCAAATTATTTCCATCATATAATACCCCTGATGGTTCTGGAATAAAGGATGCAGAGCCTGGTCTCTTCCCTCTGAGCATCTCCAGATCAGAGGCAAGCTCAGGATTCTTGGTACCCATATTCCCTTGGTGTCTGTGGCGTGTGTGGCAGATGTCTGCCCACAAAGGAGAGCAGTGCCCTGCTGGAGATGAGCAGAGCAGCCAATCCTAACTCTGTTTATCAGGAGAAAAAGAGAGATTCTGAGAAGGCAAGTCCTGTACACAGTGTCACACAGCTGATTCTGACTTTAAAGGGAAAATGTGATTTTAATAATTCCAAAGTTTCTAGACTATTCTTTGCTTGTATTGACACATAGGTTGCCCTTACCTGGACTCTGCCCTTGGATCTTTCAGTTACACAAAGGTGCTGTTAACAGGATTGTGTACCTTGCCCTCCCTGTCCTCAGGCTGGCTCTCTTTCCCACCCAGCACCCAGACGGCAGAGATGATGGCTAAGGCCAGGGGTGTAGGCAGGACACCCACTGACTTAGTTCTACTATGTGGAACAGGACACTCTTTTCTGGGCCTCAGTTTCCACTGTGGATCCTGCCATAGACACACACTCTGAGAGAGTCATGGTGCAGTCTCTGGGTTCCTTGTGTCTCACAAGTCTATATTTGCCACCGTCTGTTCATGTGGGGACCTTAGGGACAAGACCAGGGTGGTCTTCACACAAAGATGCGTGGACTCTGGGCTCTCTGCTCTCTCCATTCACATCCTTCAATTCCTTCATTACCCTGAGGACACCCAGAACAGCCACGTTCCCTCTGAGGTGCCCTGGGAAGGCATATATCAGGCAGCCTGAAATGAAGTTGAACCTTTTAGTGATCCCATCTGAGGGATGTCCCACAGTCTCTTGTGCTGACTTCTGAGGGAGAGGAAAAAGCAGTCAGATTCCAGCCTGGATGAAAGTTTAGTCAAAGGCTAATGAACCTGTGATCTGGACCAACGCCTAAATTACGTTTATAGACAGGGGCAATAGTCCTTTTTTAGAGTGGCTGTGGGCATGAGCAGAATTTCTCTACTTAGAGAAGTTCTTTCTGGCTGAGTTAGGTGGGACACAGCGGTCCTGAGCAGTGTGTCCAGTCTCCAGCTGGGCAACTGAATCACAGCCAGAGGCAAGTGCAGGGCCAATGTTCCCAGCCTGAGAAGGGCAAGTGGAGTCATACCTGCTGAGCAGCTGATGATCCCGTGGACACCCCAGACAAGCCACTCACCTGCTGCCACCCTCAGTCTTGCCTTCTCCACAGACCCACTCAGAGGAGTGACCTCAGGCCCTTCTCATGTCATAGTGCTGGATGAATGTCTGTGGTCTCAGCCACCACTGACTGTGGGACCCTCTATAGATCACTCCCCAGCTCTGCTGGCCATGTCTCTCTTTCAAGTAGAATCCCCTTCCTATCCCCTCACCTGGGTTCTTGGGGGCACAGAATACCACTCCAAGGTCAGTAACAAATGTGGATGGTGCAAATGAAAGTTTCCAGAAGGAATCCCAACTGAGTCTTCTAAGAGCCAAAATAGGTAGTTAGAATGTCAATAGCTGTGGAGAGCTTGGAATGTTTTGGATCAAGAGCAAAATGACAGTTTGTCTCTGGCTGTCTTTAGTCCCTTGAATATTGGTTCCTCGTCAGCTCTGTGTTGGATTTAACATCCTGTGACTAAGAGATAAAAACCATTTGGGATGTATTAACTTAGCTGACCACTAACTTCCACAAACCCACAAGCTAAGAACATTGGCAGATGGGATCTGAGGACTGTAACCTGCTCCGATGTTCCACAAATGTGTTCATTGTTGGCTTTCTTTCTTCTGTTTCTACAACAACTCCATGATTGGTTACCATGTTGAAAGATGGACTTTGGTGTAACCTAACTTTGTGTTCCTGGGCCATGGTCCCTCCTATTAGGCTCCAGATCAACACTGTCTTATCCCCTTTGAGGTGAGAGTTAGATATTTGTGTTGACAATGGTAATGAGCAGCTGCCTCCCAACCCTAAGCCCAGGCTTTGGACTTTAAGCACATTCCTGTCCTTCTTTGTCCTGGCATCAGTTCAGCTACTGCCGAGTTGGAGGGGAGGGTTCAGTCACACTGTTCTTCCTGCTGCTAACATCTATGGGAAGAAAACACAGAAGGGAGAGGCGGGAGGGGAAGAGTGCCCCTCACCCCCCACCATGGAGCCTCCTGAGGGAGGTTCTCCCAGAAGGAGGGAACAGCACTGCACCTGGAGTCCTTGATAATGCAGAGTTCGGGAGCATTCCTGTTTGGCTCCTGTCTGGCTGCACCAGCCCTTAGAGGCAACACCGAGAGTCAGGATACCTGAGGAATCTTCCAGGTTCTTAGGTCCCAGGACAAAGAACTGAAGCAAACACACGGTGAGGTAGTTACAGCAGAACAGTTTATTTAGGGGATGAAGACATGCCTGAGGATGGAGTGGACTGGGGATCCGGGGGAAGGCATTGCTCTAAACCACAGGGCTGGAGGCTCAGGACTTATTTACACAGCACACACCTTCTCTTGGGTCTGTGTTTTGCAGGTTCTTCTCTCCCATGCTTTGTTCTGGTAGCTGAGGTGGGGAGGGCTTTCCAGTCTTCGTGACAAGAGGTTTCTTCCATGTTTAGTGCAGAGACCACTCTCTCCAGTCCCTCTTCGGCACATCCTCTGGTCCTGGTCTCAGGCTCCAGTTGGACTCATTGACCCACTGCTGTGCACACTAACCTGCCATGATCAGTCAGAGGCTTGACTCTCTGTCCCATGGACTTGACTGGACCCATGTTCCCCTTCTAACACTGTCCCCAGCTCTGTCCAGTTCCTTTCCCCTGACCCCAGCTTGTCTTGGGGGACAGACAGGGCCTGATCAGAGTGCCTTGTAGAATTTGACGAGCTTCCCCAACTTCTCCTCCAGCTCCTCAGCCAGCTTCCTGAGAGCTTCAGCTGACTCTGACTGTGCCCCTTCCTGCAAATGCTTTGACTTTTTCACAAGGCTGTCAGCATCTTGCAGGAGAGACACACCTGCAGTGGTGGCACTCCTGATCTGGGCGTCATTGCTCATCGCCAGAGGGGTTCCTTTCAAGGTGGCCTGCACCCTTCTAGCATGTTGGGCAGGGATCCTTCCGGTGGTGGCAAGGATCCTGGCATCTTCTTCTAAGCCAGGGTTGGCTCTAACCAGCCTGAGGGCATCCATGTGCTGCTGAAGGGCTTCAAGGTCTTTGGTGATATCTCTGGTAGCCTGAGGGAACTTGCTGGCAATCCTCGCCACGGTTGTTCCAGCCTCCAACACATCCAGGCCAGGTGAGGCCTGGTGACCGGCTTCAACTTCATCCAAAATCCTGCTTGCTTCCTCCACGATGGAGGTGGCGGCATTAGTCACAGTGGCTGCTACTCCCAGCCCCAGCCCAACAGAGGACAGCATCAGACTGCCCTCCGCTGTCACTGGTGCCAGAAACAGACCAAGGAGGCCCAGGATGTCAGAGGCAGTGCTGAAGGAGTCAGCCACGACATTGGAGATGGTGCAGCCCCTGTGCATCTCCTCAGTGTGGTCAGCCAGGGCGTGGAGCTGCCGGATGTGCTCCTCCACCTCTGCTCTCAAGCGAGGAAACGCTTTCAAGAACTTCTTCCTGCCCTGCAGGTCTCTCCGAAGTCTGTGTCTGTCTGCTAGGGCCGAGAGCGCTGTCAGATCCCTCAGCACTTTGTGCAGTGCAAGTGCCTTAGCCCTGTAACAGCAGAGGTCAAGTGAGTAAGAAAGACGGCTCCTGTCTGGGTAAAACGGGCTGTGCCAGACCCACCCTACAGATGTATACTGTAACCATCCACCCAGAACTCTAAAGATGTGCAGAAGTTCCCCTTTGGTGGGTGATGTTAGGTCTTTCCAAGGCAAACTTTGTGGTCCTCATAGGTGAGTCTTTGTAAGGGCTGGGGAGACTCTGTTGGGAAGGTGCTTGTATGTAAGCATACAAACCTGAGTCCCATCCCTCAAACCTAGGTAAGAAGAGCCAAGCCCAGGGGCATGGTGTGTAATCTCAGTGCTGGGGAGGCAGAGACAGGCAGACCCTGGGACACTCTGACCTGCTAGTCAAGTCTACTTGGCAAATGTGAGTCCAGGGAGAGACCCTGTCTCAAAAACAAGGACAATTGTATCTAAGGTACAATTGAGGTTGTCCTTTCTCCCTTTTGTACATATGTTCACCTGCACATGCTACATGAACACAGACATATAGGCACATGTTTTATAATAGTCATCATAATTGGCATGGTATCGGTAGACATTGCAGAAAAGATGCGCAACTACTCAGGTAAACGCCATCACCTCCAGAGAGATATGCTGAGTGGTGGATCAACACTACCACCACCAACATGCGTGTGCTGAGGGGAGTCTGCAGATGAACACAGAGCCCCGAATGACCTCAAAGCCCACTTCACTCAGGGAGTGTTGGTGTGCTGTGGAGAGTTGATTTTCCCCAAAGACAAGATTTCTCATTGTCCTCAGCTGCTGGAATGTCCACTACAGCCCTGGCCTGCCAGAAAGGTGTGTTCACCTAAGCACTTCGGCTGTGAGACCATGCAGCTTGAGCATCTTGAATCTGAAAGAGTCTAAAGACGGGACCACTCTCCGACCATGACGGATTATGTGTGCACATCTCTGCCTTCTATTCAAACTTCAATCTCACTCAGGACCCAAAAGATGGAACTGAGGAGACACTGGGTCTCGGTCTTTCCTTTTCCCAAGTGGCCCCTTTCCACTTTATCACTAATTGGTCTATTCTGGTTGTTTTATTGAGGATGGGTGGCTGAACCTGACTTCTCCAGATACAGACTGTGACCAGGAGTTTGGTGACCATGTGGGCAGTGATCAACAGCTGTCCCCCACTCTTAAGTCTGTGCTCAGCAGCTGCTACCAACTCACGTGTTTCTTTGCCCCTGCACAAGTTCGGCCAAAGAAGTAGTAATAAATAGTGTCCTCTGACCTTGACACACATGCCCACATGTGAGTATCATACAGATCTCACATACTATAATCCACTAATTTCAAAAATGAAATGACCCTTGCCCCTGTGGGCACCATGTTCCCTCAACCTGATGCAGCTGCTTCCCAGAGAGATCATGCTAGAACAGTTTCCAAGGATTGTTGGGGAGTGCCCTAAACCCCAGCTCCTGGGACTGTCTGGAGTGGGTGTGCCTGCCCAGAGAGAACCAGTCATGCAGGGGCTTGGGGGCAGTGCTGGGGCACCCCATAGAGGTGACCTGGGCAACTTGGTCTTAGATACAAACGCCTTCAGGCTCCATCTTCAGTTAGCAGGCAATGCAGGTCATCTCTGCCGGCCGTGTCCTGGAGATGCCCAGGGGCTTCCGTAATGAAGTATCTGCTCTCTATGTGGAAGTAAAGAATGAAGTCAGAGACAGGGCAGAGGGACTGAAGTGACATGGAGCACAGGGATCTTACGTCATGTCATGAGCTTTGGTTAATGACATTCTGCTGATGGATTCGCCAGTATTGTGGACTGAATTGTGTCCTTTGGTCTCTATGTAATAGTTGTCGTAAGGCCTTGTGTCGATGTTTATAGATAGAGTCTCCATGGAAGTGAAGTGATTGCAATGAAACATTATAAACATAGGTTCCTAATCGACAGTCCTGGTGAAATGACTCACTCACTCACTCACCCACCCACTCACTCACCCACCCACTCACTCACCCACCCACTCACTCACACATTCACTCACCCATCCACTCACTCACTCACACACTCACTTACTCACCCACTCACTCACTCACCCACCCACTCACTCACACATTCACTCACTCACCCAACCACCCATTCACTCACTCACTCACCCACCCACTCACTCCCACACTCACTCACTAACCCATCCAATCACTCACCCACTCCCTCACTCCCTCACTCCCTTTCTCACTCACTCACCCATTCACTCACCCACTCACTCACCCATCCACTCACTCACTCACCCACTCACACACTCACTCACCCACCTACTCACTCACTCACCCATCCACTCACATACTCATTCATTCACTCACCCAACCACCCAACCACCCATTCACTCACTCACTCACTCACTCACTCACACACACACACACTCACTCACTCACCCTTCCACTCATTCACACACTCACTCACTCACTCACTCACACACTCACCCACTCACTCACTCACACACTCACACACTCACTCACTCACTCACACACTCACTTACTCACTCACTCACACACTCACCCACTCACTCAGTCACTCACCTACTCACTCACTCACACACTCACTCACTCACTCACACACTCACTCACCCACCCACTCACTCACTCACTCACCTACTCACTCACTCACACACTCACACACTCACTCACACACTCACACACTCACTCACTCACACACTCACTCACTCACCCACCCACTCACTCACTCATCCACTCACCAACTCTATACCTCTGTCTCCTTTCCCTCTCTGTTCATACAAAACAGCAGCAGAGACTTTGTAACGATCCAGTGAGCCTGATCCCACTGCAAGCCAGGAAGAGAGTCCTCACACTAACAACCGGCTTCACCTTCATGATTTACATTGCCTTCCAGAGCCGAGAGAAAAGGTAGGCTTTTGTTCTCCCTTTGCCTGTGCTATTGTGGAACACATTGTGTGTGGGACACACACACACACACACACACACACACACACACACACACACACACACACACACGGAGGTGCCACATTGCTTTGCAGGGGAATGAACTGTGTTCAGCTCAGAGTGAATGGAAAGTGAAGGCTGGCTCTGTGGAGGGGAAAGTTTCAATGCTGGCTTACCTCCACCTTGAACATCTGGCACATCAACCACTGTGGTACCAGTACCTTCAAAGGTGTCTTTCAGCCTCTCTGGTTCTGACACCAGTTTATTGGGTCAAAGAGGAACATTGACAAATGGAATAGATTGGATATCAGAGTGTGTTGAACACAGCAAAGATATTGTTTTTGGAGTCATCTTATATTGATAATGAATATGTCTATGTAGATTACGGACAAAATGACCAGCTTTGGAGAAGATTACAGGAGAAGTATTTCTTCCTCAACGGGAGCTTTGCACTCTCTGGCCTCTCAGAAATGACACAGTCAGTGAACCATGGTGACTGGGGAGATGTGACTGAGCCACATGGTCTGCTGTCCTCCACGTTGTCAGGCTCTCCTGGTCACACCAGAGAGGAAAGGTAGAGGGAAGATAACCCTTTCTAGGTACCCAAGATAGGGCTCGGATGGGGATCCCTACAGATGCAGGGTCAGGTCACTCACCTTGGTCCTTGGTGGCCTCATCCTCATCTGAAGTGGAGGCCACCAGGTCCAGGCTGAGAGCAGAGAACAGACTTGGTCGAGGATCACGGCTCCCTCGAGAGGACATCGGTGCTTCTGGAACTTTAACACCGATCACAGTATCTGTGAGAGATTTTCCTTACAGATCATGGATGCTCAGGCTCTAGGGAAGAAGAAACACAGTGTGGGATAAAGTGGGAATAACTGTAGGAAAGGCAGCTAGCCAGATATCCAGTTGTCCCACAGTCCCCCCAGAGTGACTGCCAAAAATCACAGGGACTTAATTCACAGAGCCCAGTCTTTCCCTGAACCAGGCAGCTGCTACGTAAGGAAGTCAGTCATCTGGCTTCTCCTGTCTCCTTCACCCCAGCCAGGGCAGAGGCCTCCTGCCCTGTGGGGTCCAAGGGAAGTGTGAGGCACTGAGGACACAGTTGTGAAAAAGATTCAAATCCACACAAGCCAAGGGGAGATGGGAAGAACATTCTGGTAACTACTCAGGGGTGGGAATACCAGCTAACATCAATAGAGGGACTCTGTTTCAGGGGCCTGAGCACCCAGGCTGGGGCTTAGGACTCTGCAGAGGAAGAGAGCATGGAGTCTGCTCGCTTGCGTGTTCCACTCTGTGATGACATCTTCTTTTGCTACAACAAGAATATCCTGTCCCAAACTAAAGCTCTGGCCTGGGCCATGCTCTGAGATGTCCCAGCCTTCTCAAGTGAGCTCAGTAAATATCTGTCTTTGTAGATAGAATCCTTGCAGGTACTGCATTACAGTTACAAGATCTCATCAAGACACCCTGCCATGGAGGGAAAGAATGAAATGCCTTCCTTGCCAAATACACCTTGGTCTCTTTCTTCATAGACAGGATACAAAGAGATTCCGTGGACACAGCTGGCTGTCACCCCACCCACCCAGAGCCCTGATCCTATTGAGGATTCTTTCTACCCCCCTCTCTCCAGCCTTGGATCTCCATGGTGAGCCTTCTCCACCACTGAGAACCAGTCATGCAGGGGTTTGGGTGCAGTGCTGGGGCATCCCATAGAGGTGCTAAGGACATCTGTGTTCTGTTCAACCTCAGCCAGAATGAGACTCCTTGGTAAGTTGAACCCCTTCAGCTCCTCTACCGCCTCCTCTTCACGATTTTACCTTGGGATAAGGGATAATTGCCTCATTCTAGGGATGGACTCAGTGAACTTAGGCATCATCGTCAGCCCCGAGTTCAGAAGAACTGAACTTGCAGCCAGGTCAGCCTCTGGCTCCTTCTCTCTGCACTAAACACAAGAAGGATGGGCAAGCCCTCGGATGGGATCACCATGTGGTTGGGGGCTCAGCTCAGGTGCTAGAATGCCTAGGATATGGCCATCAGACTCCTGACAGAAAGCAGATTTAGGGGTGTACAGCAGTGGGGAAGTGGGGAAACTGAGGGATGTGGTGGAGGGCAGGAGGCTCTGAACTCACTGGTCCTTGGGTGAATCCTGAAGTTGGACCAAAACTGTGGCTGCCTAGCACAGTTCGGGACATTATCCTCCCTCTGGACTGAGAGGCAGGGCCACCAGGCTTCCTGCTGCCCTTGTCCCTGATATGGTCCATGGCTCCCTCCTGAAAAAATACAAGTGAAACTTTGCATTCTCTCCTCCTCCCACAATATGGCAGTCTCACCACAGAAGAAGAAGAAGAAGAAGAAGAAGAAGAAGAAGAAGAAGAAGAAGAAGAAGAAGAAGAAAGAAGAAGAAGAAGAAGAAGAAAGGAAAGAAAAGGGGGAAGACCATGTCCCTAACAGACTTTCTGGCTGAGCATGAGGGGGAGGGGAGCTGGTGAAGGAAGCACCTTTGACCCCAAACCAGTCAACTGGACTGATGAAACAGATGCTCAGGCAGGATGTGCCTATACATTAGTGTAGTAATGACAAGGATGTGTATCAGGCCCATCTGATTGGCCATTTCACCCTGTTCACTGATCCATGCACTGCTTGGGAACCCAATGTCAGCTGGAGCAGTCTTTCCAAATTGCTACTCTCCACTGTTTTCCCAAGGAATCTGCCCAATGATGATGGGACAGAAAACCTCCTAAGGAATTCTCCAGAGGACTAAACATCAGTGCAGCGCACTTACCTCATGAACCCAGCAATCCAGACAGGTTGAAAGGCTTTGGCTGCAGTGACTTAGAGGACCTGGATTCCCTGCTCAGTGTCCTCAATCTCAGAGAGGGGTCTCCAGGTAACAGGAGGTGTAGGGTTTTTTTTTTTGTTGTTGTTGTTGTTGTTTTTTGCTGATCAAGCATAGGATAAAGACAGGAAGACTGTTCTTTCAATCAAGGTAGAAATCAAGATTATGACAAAACAGACACAGACTGGTGAACCCAGACCAGCACAGACAACTTTAATTGTCATCCATCTAGGAGAGGCAATGATCACTTTGGAGACATGTATCAAGATGATTAAGATTAAGACCAGTACTAGGGTGGGCATTGGGGTACTGGGATGGGTACTGAGTACTAGGATTGGCATCAGGGTATTAGGATGGGCATTGGGTAATAGGATGGGCATTGGATACTAGGATGGGGATTGGGTACTGGGATGGGGATTGGGTACTAGGATGGGGATTGGGTACTGGGATGGGTATTGGGTACTAGGATGGGCATTGGTGTACTAGGATGAGCATTGGGTACTAGGATGGGCATTGGATACTAGGATGGGCATTGGGTACTAGGATGGGCATTGGGTACTAGCATTGGCATCAGGGTACTAGGATGGGCAGTAGCCAGAATATGGACAACAATGGGGCTGAGATCAACATGATTCAGAGGCTGCAGAGACCATGACTGAGGCTATGACTCCTTGACAGGCAGAGGAAGAAGAGCATTTGGTAGTGCATACTGTAGGGTGATGAGTACAGAGGAGTCAGGGGTCACCATGAGATCAGTAAGAGAGACAGGATGACAGGGTATGGAGCCCCAGAGATGATCTCTCTCTCAGAATGATTACAGATGTGATGATAGAGGTCTCCCCACAAGACCCAACCTGAGTCAAAAGCCTCAGAGAACTCCTGAGGAAGAAGGCTCCTCTTTCAGCACTTCCCAGTCCAGCTGAGTGGATTCTGTGGAGGAGCAAAGACAGTTGACCCAGCTGCTGGAGAAGGAAATGGAAGAGCAGCAACAGAGAGGGCAAGAAGAGCTGCAGCCTCTGCTGGATGAGCCAAAACTGGACCACAGGTCCAGAGCGGGTGTAGAGAAGGAGAAGGGGAAAGGGGAGGGGATATGTAAGTTGGGGAACTCAAAGGCGTTTTGTCTCATCCACCAGAAGCCATGGTCTGAGGAGTCACTGCTTTTCTCAAGGGAACCATCTCTGGCATCTTTGATTCCTGTTCCTGTCCACCTTTTCCTATGGCCCTCCCCCTTGGAGGTTAGAGTATGTCAGCTGATGGACTGGGGTAGTGAATAGGGGTGTAAATAGGGGGATTTGAGCTGCATTCCTTCAACCTTGACTTGGGTGTTTTCAGGTGTCTACTATAAAAGATCCCAAGATCTTAGTAGGTCTCCAGACCTTAGTGCCGCTGGCTCACGAGGGACGTGCCATTCAGGTCATAAAACTCAGCAGGTGGACAGCACCACCCGAAAAAAATGGAAACAAAACTTAATCCATCAAAGTCTCTAGTTCTCAGAAAGTCTCTAAATATACTAAACTTGCTTTTTATTTTTTACTTCTGTAGTTCTGCTCCTGGTTAACTGTTCTAACTGAAGTATGTCAAACCAGGATATGGTTTTTGTGCTTAAAAGCTCACCCTGAGAAATGCTCAGTGCTACACTGGGATCCTGAACACCCAGGGTATTCACTGGCCAGTTCATGAAGACTTTCTATTGATTTAAACTCATGCCTTAGCAGGCTTCTCTGGTGACTACCCCACAACACTGTAAGTTCCCTTTACTGGAATCGCACACCAGTGCTCGGGTCTATCATGTGACCTAGACAGTGTGTGGTTTTCTGCTTAGGAGAGTTGGTTTCATGACTTCCTTCAAAAGTAGAGAATAATGGGAAGGATGGTAGAAGGTCTTGCTTTCCCTGGCAACACTGTAGCTTGACCTGTGTGCTTTGATGTGCACCGATGTAGGCACCAGCTCCAAAGATGCAGGTGTTCCTGTTGCAGGAAGTCAGGGTGCCTGCAGGAAAATGATTCCCTGGTCTCCCATGTGAGCCCAAAGCCTACTGTGCAGGAGCATTTGTTTAGTGTGCTGCTGCAGTGGGCATAGCAAACCGCTTATCCAGTGGACTTGATGGCCAGTAGCTAGAGAGTAGGCTTTTAGAGAGAGACCCGTGGTTGAATGCGGTCATGGACAATGAAAGGGAGTTTGCCCTCTTGGTCTATTTTTCTTCAGATAATTGCATCCAAGAGAAAGTGGTTCTGTCCCACTCTCCTACTTGGTTCCTCTGTTAAAATGAAACAGGGGTTGATTTAAGCACCTGAATATATGTAAAACTTGTACAAAGGTGTCTTCTGTGAAAATGACTCACAATCTGTAGACATTACTTAGGAGATGCCTTGAGATGGAAAAGCCTGTCCTTTGGGTTGAGAGATTTTTGGCTTTCCCCAATTAAATTTACTCTTTAAAGATAAAAATAAAGATTACAGCTGGGTCATGCTGACACTGTCGCCCGTTTGGTCGCATGCCACCATCTCTTGTGCTGCTGGTTGTTTCTTATTACAGTTTTCCCCAAAGGTCAGCAATATTTATTTAACCAAATTTATAGATACCATGTAAGCAGAGTCAGTGGATTTAAGATATCTCTCCCCTACCTCCCCCTCCTCAGTTGAGAGTTACCAAGGATCACAGCCTGTGTCTCATGATCCCAAACTAGCTAATATATCCATCCCACCACTTGTTTGACTTCTTACTCAAATATGACTTTCCCTCTCTCCCCAAGTCAACTACTGACCCAGCCTGACACACGGAGAATAGTTTTAGTTTCACAGGTCCTTCCTGTCACCCTGTCTCCTTCATGGGCTGGCCACTTGTCAAGAGCTCTATCCACTGTGCGGTCACCACCACCACCCTCAGCATCATCCTCAGTATCTCCATCATCGTATGGGAGCTGCCTGATGGACAAAGGGGGAGCTGGTACAGCTGGTGCTGGACAGAAAGGACTGTGGCTCAGAGCACATGGTCCGGTGGGAGGGAGACTGTGGAGCCTCCTACTCCAGCCCTTCTGTTTCCCTGCCTTTTCATTACTTGCTCCTGCACACCCCTGTGTGGTTTTAGACCCATTCCCACATTCTCTAGTCCTCTCTGGTCCCTCAGTTCAGCCTGCTGTCACATCTTTCTTTGATGCTCAGGCCGTCCATATTAACTCTACAGTGAGACACAGAACTGCAAACTCCTCAATGCTCGGTTCTGTGGACTCAATCCCACATCTCTGCTTTTCTAACTTTCACTTCTGGTGCTGTGATAAATGCCTGACAGAAGCCAGTGAGAAGAGAAAGCTTTCATTCGGCTTATAGTCCCTGGCTGTCTGTAGTCCATCATTGTGAGGAAGTCAAGGCAGGAACTCAAAGCAGATAGCCACAGTGCATCCACGGTCCAGAGTAATGAGAAATGAATTCATGCATGAATGCTTACTCGTGCTCAGCCTGCTTTCCCTTATACAGTTCAGAACCCATACCCAGAGAATAGTGCCCCCTATGGTGGAGGAATTTACCCACCTCATTTAGAGTCATGCAGAAAAATCTCTCCCAAGCATGCCCACGGGACAGCTCAAGCTAGACAATCCCTCACTGAAACTTTCTTCTGACATGATTCTAGATGGTGTCAAGATGACAGTTAAAACTAACTACCTCATTTCTCCTCTAACAAGACATCTTGGTGCCTCTAATCTGTCCGGATCATCTCCACCGACCTCAGTGTAGCTGGAGGAGGCTGTCACAAGCACCTAGAGGGTCTTGTGGATCTGGGCAATCTCCGACAACTTCTCCTCCAGCTCCTGAGCCAGGGCCCGGAGTTCTTTGGCCGACTCTGATTTTGCTCCATCGTATAAATACATTGAGTCCCTTACAAGGAAATATACATCCAGTGCAAGGAAGGCTCCCGCAACAGCGGCCCCTCTGATTCTGGCTTTTTTAGTCATTGCCAGAGCAGTGCCTTCAAAGGCATTCTGCAGCTGACTAACTCGTTGGGTAGGGATTCCTCCAGTCGTCAAGAGGAGCTTGGCATCTGCCACTAAGTGAAGGTTGGCTCTGGCTGCTCTAATGGCGCGGATGTTTTGTCCCAAGGTTTTCAATTTTTTGCAGAGACCATAGGAGCTTTTAGAAAGTTTGAATGCAATCTTTCCCAGGACAAGAAGCGTCCTCATAATGTCCATGGTGTCTGACATCAGGCGCTTGGCTTCAGCCTCATCTGACCACTTGCTTGTTTCTTCCACAACTACAGTGGCAGCACCTGTCACAGTAGCCACCACCCCCAGCCCCAACCCAGTGGCTGAGAGCAGCAGACTGCCCCCTGCTGTCACGGGAGCCAGAGCTACACCCAGGATGCCCAGGCTCCAGAGGCAGCGCTGGTGGAGTTGGTCACCACGTTGGAGATGGTGCAGCCCCTGTGCACCTGGTCAAGATGGTCAGCCAGAGCTCGGAGATTCCTGATGTTCCCCTCCAGCTTCCCTTTCAACTCGGGAAAAGCTTCCAGAAACCTCTTCCTGTCCTGCAGCTCTCGTGGAAACCGCTCTTTGTCCTCCAGGGCTGGGAGCTCTAGGAGCAGCTTCAGAGCCTTACACAGTGCGGCTTCCTCATCCCTGGAACAGAAGAGGTCAGCGCATCAGGAAGAAGGCTTGTTTCACTGTAGGATGGACCCACACCACCTATCTCCCTCACATCACAGACTTGTGCTATAGAACCAATGGGAAGGGATTTCACTACATGCAGGACTCTGCACTCCACCAGGAACATTGATGATCACAGACACTCCACGGTTCTTAGTCCATAGGTGTCAGTGTGTGAAGTCATGTGAAGACACACATTAGTGACATGCCCATGACAAAGAAGCCTCCACTTCCAAATATTTGCCCAGTGGGAACTCTGTAGATGAGCATAGGGATGCAGGATTAGAGCAAAACTGGGAACATTCTGGGGGTCCCATGGAGCTGACCTGGACAATTCAGCCTCTGCCACCAACACCTTCCAGGCTTCATCTTTGGCCAACAGGAGCTGCAGGTCTCTTCTGCTTGCTGAGTCCTGCAGATACTCAGTGACTTCCTGGATGAAGTGTCTCCTCCTCAACACTAGGAAAGAAATGGAATGAGGTCAGAGGACAGCATGGAAGAGGTTAAATTGCAAAGAGTGTACGGTATTTAACAGCCAAGGTATTCAGCATCTGCCACTGGGTACCTGATGGAGTCAGCAGTGCTAGGGAATGAGTTGTGACCTTCAATTCATGTATAAAAAGCCTTATGGCAGCAACCAGTTTTAGAGATGTGTTTTTAAGAAAGTGAGGTAATAAGGATTAGGTGATGTCATAAATATACATCCCTAACCAATGACAGTGTGGTACTGATAACAAAAAGAATAGACACCATATATATAATGTCATATCTATCTATCTATCTATCTATCTATCTATCTATCTATCTATCTATCTATCTATCTATCTACCTGTCTGTCTATCTATCTATCTATCTATCTATCTATCTATCTATCTATCTATCCATCTATCTATCTATCTCAGTGGTTCTCAACCTTCCTAATGTTGTGACCCTTTAATATAGTTCCTCATATTGAGGTGACCCCCAACCATAAAATTATTTTGATTGCTACTTCCTAACTGTACTTTTGCTACTGTTATGGATCATAATGTAAGTATCTGTGTTTCCTGATGGTCTTATCTGACTCATGTGAAATGGTTGTTCAACCTCCAAAGTGGTTGAAACCCACAGATTGAGGACTGCTGATCTATCTACTTACCTATCATCACTGATCTCTGTGTCTGTGTGTCCTTCCTCCACTTGGTCCCTTCCTGCCTCTCTGTCTCCATGCACACAGGAGAGGCTGTGCACAGACTCTCAGTTAGCAGGCTGTGCTACAGACCAGGAAGAGTGTCCTCACCACAACCAACCTGCCATTCCTTCACTGTGGACTTTGGCTTTCAGAAGTGAGAAAAACAGAGGTCCTTGGTTCAAGCCCTCAGTCTGAGGGATCAGGGTATGGCAGCTGGGAAGACTCATACACCAGGGAGGTGTCATGGTGCTGTACAATGAAAGGAAATGTCTTCTGCTCTGAACAGTTGAAGGGTATCTCTTTTAGCCTCAGAAAGTGACAACTTTGCAAAGTGACTTCCATCTGCCTTAAGGCTCTTACATGTGAACACTGGCACCAGAGCCAGTGAATGGGACTTTCAATTCCTCCTCACAGGGTTGTGACATTAGTTTGTTGGATAAAAGCAGCAGGTCAAAGAAAACAGAATTTGCAATGTCAGAACTATTTGCTTGTAGGAAGAGTAAGGCTAGCTGTGGTGGTTTGAATGAGAATGGTCCCCATAGATTGATATATAAGAATGCTTGGTCCCCCCTTGGTGGATCTTTTTGGGAACTGTGGCCTTCTTGGAGGAGGCATATCACTGGGGATGGACTGTGAGTTGTCAAAAAGCCCATACCTTTCCCAGTTAGTTCTCTCTCTCTCTCTCTCTCTCTCTCTCTCTCTCTCTCTCTCTCTCTCTCTCTCTCTCTCTTTCTCTCTCTCTCTCTCTCACTCTCACTCTGTCTCTCTCTGTCTCTCTCTCTCTCTCTCTCTCTCTCTCTCTCTCTCTCTCTCTCTCTCTCTCTCTCTCTCTTTCTGTTGGTTAAGCAGCGGCCATGCCGACGGAGGAGAGTGCTGGAAGAGTCAGGAGTCATGGTTACCTTTCTAGAGCTTTATTGAGAATGAGAGTGAAAGTGAGAGTGAGAGTGAGAGGGAGAGGGAGAGGGAGAGGGAGAGGGAGAGGGAGAGGGAGAGGGAGAGGAAGGGAGGGAGAGAGAGAGAGAGAGAGAGAGAGAGAGAGAGAGAGAGAGACCACATGGAGGGGGGACAATATGGAAGGAGAGAGTGCAGAAAGAGAGGGTGGGCACAAAGAGTGCTTTTTAGGCTGGGATGCCCTTGCAGGCTAGTGACTTAATTAAGAACATAATCCTTACACTTTCCCTTCCTCCCTTTCCTCTCCCTTCCTCCGTATCTCCCCCTCATGCTTGTGGATTAAATGGAAGCTCTTAGCTATTGCTCCAGTCCGTTCCTGCCTGCTGCCATGATGATCATGGGCTCATCCTCTGAAACTGTAAGCCCAGATTAAACACTCTCTCCTATAAGTTGCTTTAGTCTTGGTATCTTAGCACAAATGGAAAAGGAACTAAAACAGCGTTGTCACTAGGGAGTAGACTATTGCTGTGACAGGCCTGACCATGATGTTTTTTGATGAATGTGGAAGACTTTGGGGCTCAGGACTAGGAGAGTGGTTGAACATAATAAGTGGGGGTTCAGGGGCCTTCCTATTAGGACATTTCAAGACAACAGTGCTGAGAGCATGTGGCCCCTGGAGGTCCAGCTGAGGATGTTTCAGAGGGGAATAATTTTAGCAACCAGGCTGGAAGCCATTTTTGTGATATTTTGACAAAGATTCTGTCTGCCTTCTGCCACTGTCCTATGAATCTGCCTGAGGCAAAATTGAAGAGTTTTGGATTAATTTTATTGGCAGAGGAGACTTCAAGACAGACTGGTGTTGACTCTGCCATTTGGATATTATATAGCTCTACAACTAAAAAGAGCCAGTGAGCACCGTTTCTCTATGGCCTCTGCATCACCTCCTGCCACAGGGTCCTTACCTCCTTGAGTTCCTGACATGAAAGTCTTTGTTGATGAACTATGAAGTGGAAATGGAAGTGAAATAAACCCCTTCCTCTGAGGTTGCTTTGGTCACAGTGTTTGATTACAGCAACAGGAACCCTTGCTCATATACTCACTGTAGTGAGATTTTATAGGAGATGAAGGGCTTATTCACAGGAGCAGCCAAGCGTGTGAAACCTGGTGTGAACAAGACACCAGACAAGAGTTTTCCTGTGTGGTGGGGAGTTTGCTGTGTCCTCAGACTTTGGGGGTTGTCACTAAGTCACATGACCTGCTGTGCTCCACTTTTCCAGGCTGTCCTAACCTCTCTAAGAGGCAAAGGAGGGAGAAAGGGATCCCTGAGCATGCCCCCCAAGACAGAGCCAAGAAGAGGACTCCTTACACACAGGTAGGGGAGACTCCCATTACTGCATTTTGGGGACTCTTTTTCTATCCTGAACTCAACAAGCTCTCAGGGTGGAGGTTCAAGGTTCTAGACCACACTCAGGAAACACAGAAGAGAAGTTCATACCTCTGGAGGCCATGAGGGCTGCAGGGTCCCTGGTGGCGGGTGTGGGGTCTCTCTCTGGCCCTTCTCAAGGTATCTGTGAATCCTGGCTAAAAGGAAGAGAAAACCCAACTTTAAGATGGAGTGGGGACAGCCTCAACGGAGGCTGGTGTCCCATGGTTCTCTCTGGATAGCAGAGCAGCTAAGGTCAAAGAGTGACTGTCCCTGGCTCTCCTGAGTAAGGATCAGTCCCAGGCCTCCCCTCACTCTTCCCTCACACTAGCCACAGCAGAGCCCTCGTGTCCTGTTAGGTCCAAGGAACAGATGATCATCTGGAGACAGCCATGAGTTGGGACCGTGGAATCTGGCTGCAGATTTATATGAAAGAGGTAACAAGGGTTTCAGTCTCCGAGTACACAAGCCAAGATCCACATTTAGACAACAGACACTTGGGAGCACACTTTCCTTTTTAAAGTTATTTTTTCTGTAGTCCTTCTTTTTTTCAATTCTTCCCTTTTTCATCTGCTTGACTTTATCTCAACCGTCAGAGGACACCACAGTGAGATGCAGAACCATGAAAATGTCCAAGAAAGCTATGGGGATGGCCATGATGGGGACCCACTGATCAGGGCATAGAATGAACTGGAATATTAGTACACTCTTGAATAGAGCCAGGGTTGGGGCCGCAGAATCTGGCTGCAGATTCATATGAAAGAGATCAATAAGGATTTCAACCTCCAAGTGCACAAGCAGAGCCCATCCTGAAGATCTACTAAAGAACGGCTCAGTTGACCTGGCAAGAAATGTCACCCAGGGTGGCTGCCACATCAGAGGTTGGGATGCTGAAAAGACCTTTGGTCCTGAGGCAATTGCAGCCAATGGGGCTGTGATCTTCTTTATTATTATTAATACTTTATTTTTTCGTAGATTTAAGCAGGCCACCTATCTCCATCCACTCCTCACTATCTAGTGGTCGCTTAGCTCTGTGAATTATTCCATCACAGTTTCTTATCCCCATCTGAGCCTTAGTGCCTAGTTCTTTCATTCTCTTTCTCTTTCACTGCCTGAGTTCAGGTGGTTATAGCACCAGTATCCTATTGTCTTACAGTTACTATACTTTTTTCACACATGTTATAGTTGTGTGGCTTGGTCCTCTTCTGGGACTCCTAACAGCAGGAACAGGGGCTGTCTCCAACTCCTTTACTGACTTTTGGGACCTTACTTCTCATACTGGGTCACCTTGCCCTGCCTTAAAACACGGGGAGGTGCTTAGTCTTACTACAACTTGATATGCCATGTTTTCTTGATATTCATGGAAGATCTGCCTTTTCCTGGCTGGAGATGGAAGAGGAGGGGGTTGGGGAGTGGGAGCGGGAATGGGGGAGGGAGACTTGGAGTGGAGGATGGGAGAATGTGACTGGGATGTAAAATAAATAGATTTAAAAGCGCGGGGGGGTGGGGGGGCGGGGGGAGGTATGTGATCTTAATGCAATGGGAAGCCACCCTGCAATGGCTTTGGGAGGCGGAGGGTGAACACCAGCACCACCTAGTGGAGCTCAGAGGGGTCAGCAGCCTAGGCACAGGGCCATTGTGGTCACCACAGCCCAGCTCACATCCTGAAAAGGACAGAACTCAGAGAAGGTGGATACTTCACTGGCTGCCTCAGAACAGAGGCTCACCTCCTTGATGACCTCCCTTTCTCTAGGGACCATGGAGGGGACTGGGATTTTTCCAACTGAGCACGTGACATGGGACTTCTGAAGTCATACAAGGCATCAACACAGACAACCTACCAGGACTGCAAAGCCCAGGGAAGGAAATTGGACCCATGATGACACCCCTGGGTGACTTCCTGGGAGGGGAAGGGTCCTGACACTGCAGCCTGGCTCCCACACTCATCCTCGGGACAACCCTATATGTTGTATGCATAGTGCATCAGGGGTGAATAATGTGGAAACATCATGAAAATGAGAACTAAGTGTATGACAATAGAATTGAACCCATGATCACAGTATTTCCATGTCGGAGCACAGATAACTCTGCCCTCTGTGTGATGCACACAATGCTCACAGTGGTCAGGAGCATTAGACACATTTGCTGAGTGGACACAGGAGCCTGGTGATTCCAGTTTAACACAGAATTAGAAACTGACTCAGAGGCTGGCGTTCACCTTGAAGACTCTACTGAGAACTGAGGGAGTTGCCAGTGAGCTTTGGACAGAGAGAGGATGAAGCCTCAAGTTCAGTAGATTCCCACATAGATGGAGAAGAGGGGCAGGTGGTCAGGGAGGGGCCTGGGGAGCCGCCACAACAGGCATCTCTGCAGCAAGGGCCAAGGGTGCCACCACAGTCCTCAGGCACCAGGGAGGGTAGGCTGGTGTCACTGATATACTACAGCACGACCTTGAAGTCCATGGCACTTGACTGTGGTAACCAGGGAGAGGATAAACACAAACTACAGAGTTGTCATGTGTAACATGAATTCTAATAGGTCTTAATAATAAAAACCCCAAGTCAGATATCAGGTCTAAAGCTGAAAGATCAGAGAAGCAGAGCCATCAGCTCTGCTTCTTACCTCTAGGTATCCTCAGACTAAAAGGGCTGAGCTCCTGTCTCCACCCTGCCTTATCACTTCCTCTCTCAGCCCACCCATATCGCTTCCTGTTTCTTCCTCCCAAGTAGGAATGTGAAGCCAGAAATAGAGGACAACTGTTTTAAGATGTGTTACAGTTGTTTATGTTGTGGAACAGTTGTTTTAGTGATGCAAAGATGTGCTGTATTCTTTTATACTGCATTTGTTAACTCTGTGAAGCTGTGTTGCTGTGCCTGTCTAAAATACCTGATGGTCTAATAAAGAGCTGAACGGCCAATAGTGAGGCAGGAGAAAGGATAGGCGGGGCTGGTCGGCAGAGAAAGTCAATAGAAGGAGAAATCTGGGAGGAAAGATCAAGGGATGAGAGAAAGAGGAGGACTCAAAGGGACAGTCACCCAGCTGCATGGCCATGGAGTAAGAAGAAAGGAAGGAATACAGAAATAGAGAAAGGTAAAAGCCCAGAGGCAAAAGATAGGTGGGGTAATTTAAGAAAAGCTGGCAAGAAAAAAGTGAAGATAAGGCTGGGCACTTGTAAGTAATAAATAGTAAGTATCCGTGTGCAAATTTGGGAGCTGAATGGCGGGTCCCCAAAAAAGCCAAAGAACAAAGAGTAATAAAACAAACAACTACACAAAACTTTGCTTCCCCTTGGTTCTTCTTCTTTCATCAGCATAACTTAGATTGAAAAGAAAAACAGTGAGACGCAGGACCATGTAAATGTCCCCTGAGCCACAGGCCAACCATGATAGGAATCCCTTGATCAGACTGAGGAATGTACTGGAACATTCAGACCTTTGAACAGTCAGGATGGGGCTACAGATTTCTATGGTGGGGGTTGGAACCACCCAATACCTCTGTCTCTAACTGCAAGGACACATGTAGGTCTCATCCCACCTAGAGAGCCTGAAGATCTTCTAGGGAACTGCTCAGCATGATCAGTGACACCGCATGAGAATCATACAGCTGTTTGCCACTTCAGAGTTGGAGACTCTCCTAATATCTTTGGTCCAAAGGAACGTCAACCAATGGGAACCTGATTCAATCCAATGGAAGCTATCCTAATTCTGCTGTGTGTTAATATTAGCCCCACCTAGTGGAGGGTGGAGGGATCAGCACCAAGGTGAGAGGACTCCATGGTCACCCCACCTTAAACAGCACCCTAGAGAAGGGGCTTGGCTCAGACCACCTGGACAGCTGAGGGACCATGGGAGACAGACAAACCTCCAAGAACAGGACAGCACAGGGAAGGAAACTGCTCGCTCTCACACTGACAACCCATTCTGAACCGTTCTGCTTCCCCAGTAGAAGAGAAATCCTTAAGTGTCAAGGGTTTTGAAAACGTGATTTTCATCCTTGTGTGCCTGAGATGAGTCACAACATTTCAAAGCATGGCACTGTTGCCCAGGGGTAAAGGGAAGTCAAGAGACCAGTGTCTAGAGGAGTCAGACATGACATGGGTTCCATGTATCAGTGCAGGGATCCAGCTTGGCCTCACTTCAGCCACTTGAGTCCAACCATTCAAGACTGGCTGTGAGAAACCTCAACCTGTTTTCTCTGAATGTCTCTCTGTTACTGTAATCATTTTAGAAAGGCTTTCACATCTCCAGGTATTTCAGCATTGAGTTGACACCACAGGGGTGAAGTTAGAAGCCACCCTCAGAGCACAGGTTACAGTTCATATACAGTCTAAAATGATTGCATAATGTTATCTCTATCTGTCAGTATGTGGCATCAACACATGTGGGTTCCAAGGGTACACCTGTGTCTCAATTGCAAAATATGCCATTACAAGTCTGCAAAGAATGTGTGCTATAGGAACTTTGGGTGGGGATTTCCAAGTCTCCTTCTTGGGAACAGACCTGGGGTGGAGTAATCCTTCGGTGACCCATTACGGTCCACCCAGCTTTTCCCCTTCCCAGAAGTCACTGACAAGCCAGGTCTCTCCTTTGGGAGCAAGCACTCTGATGACATCACAGTCACAGCTGTGCCCACTTTTCTTGCAATTTGAAGCCCAGCTGAAGTCTCATCCATGACCTTCATTCTTGCTCTGTTTGTGTCTCACCCAGGCCAGGGCTGCTGTTGGCACTATCAGCTCCTGTCATGGGTCATCAGTAGGGTGGTGCCTGGCAGGAATTGTGCCTGGTGGGTTATTTTCTGGTGAGGGTCCCCAAACCAGCACTTTCCCCTTCACTTTCAGGCATGGGGTGTAGCAGGCCCAGGGCTTGTGTCTCGTTGCATCTCAGATGTGCACCTGGTGACTGGATTCAAGGGCTCTGGAAGAGGGAGGTTATGGCCCCATTTTGTGGATGAGCTCAGCAAGGTTAGACAATGGCCCAGCATCAGCATGGCTGGACTTGCAGTCAGAATGGGGTCTGTGTGTTGAGCTCTCTTCTTCAGCCCTGAGCACAGGAGAGGGTGTGAAATGTCTCAGATGGGATCTCCACA